TGGTAGCACTTGAAAGTAGAGCTAAGCTGGTCAAGGCATTTCAGTCTGGGTCTGTCTTCTCTGCTTAAGTGTATGTAAAGGTGCCCAGGTGATTTCCATGGCACAGGCTTTGCAGGCATGCAATTGCTGCATCCTGTCACTGGAGACTAAGAAGCAGTGGCAGGTCATCACAAAGAGAATTAGCTCACGTATTTTGACAGGTGAAGCTAAATAAAATGAAATAATTTGACAGGAAGTGAAGCAAAAATGCAACAAAGGAATAGACTTGCAGGAATATCTGGTTACCAGAGGGGAAAAAATCAAGAGGATGAGAAATGTATACACAAATAAACAAATATAGATATTTTTAAAAATCTATTTCAACCTCAACAGTTTGACTAGCTCAGAGTTCCTAGTCTTTTGGGTAAGGCAATGCTACTATCACAGTAAGCACTTCCACTTCCTAGCACTGAGTAAGGGGACTGCAAGATCTCTTGCCAAGATCTCTTTCAAATCTGAACCGAGAGTGAAGCAACAAAGTAAGAAGGTCCACTTGAATTTGGAGAGAGTCTAAAATGAGAGCTCTAGGAATTGCAAGCTGCTCTATTAGTCTCATTTCAGATCCATGGACTGCATAGGTTTGTGGCCAAGAAACTGCCAATTGTGACTGCTGTTCCCAAGGGAAAAAAGAGAAATTCTATATGGTGCACAAAAGCAAGAGTGGATTTCTTAGCATATAGTCTTTTCCAGTGTAAGCACAGGCAGCTTTCTGGTTTAAGGAAACAAGGACAACTTTCCCACTAGTACTACCAAGTGACTAGAGACTTTCTCGACCCTATGGTGCTGAAAAAAAACATAGACAAGCAAAGGAGAAAATTTATCTAAAAATATAGCAAAGAAATGTATATCCTTTGCACTAGAAAAGGAAAAAAAATTATAAACTACACAGGTGGCATGGAAAGCAGCAGTGGGGTTTTCTCATTAAAGATGCTGACAACATAAAAGTAGAAAAGGCAACATGTCAGCACAGCTGTAACTGGTCACAGCAGTGATAGCTGGCCTCTTTCTGAGGACCACCATTGTGATCCCTGGGAGCAGTGTACAGATGTGTGGCAGTACCCAGCCTGATTAGGTTGCACCAGCCTGCAAGCCTCCAGCCAAACATCCTGCCTTTTAGTGGTACATGTCCCTTGGCTGCACACAGCAAACACGGGCCATCTGTGAGAGAACAGGATCCCCCTCCTGTGCCTGGGCAGCAGCACCACCTGGGGACTCTGCTGGACCACAGGCTGGCACAGAGTCAGCTCCAGGGTGACAGGGATACAGCACCAGAGGCAACGGTGAGATTTGCTGTGATACCCTGATACCCAGAGCTCTGGGAGGTTGCCTGAAGAAGCACAGTCTCATGTGTCAGTGGCACTGAGATGTCCAGTGTGAGAGCAAGTGGGAAGGGTAACTGTCACCAAGGCAGATGAAGAGATCACAGGAAAATTAAAAGAGAGTTTAATGTTGCATGTATTTAGAAAGGTAAAAGTGTTAATTGGAGAGCTGGGCGGGGACTTATAATACTAATAGGTTTGTTTTCTTTCAGAGAGTGTTTTTTTAATCTGTTTTATTCTGAAAATACTGTGTGTTAAACACTTTGTTTTTATTCCTACTGTTTAGACTTTGTTATGGATGCATAGGAAAAATCTACTAGTTTTCTTCTTTACTTGGATGAATTGTGAGCTGACATTAACATGAAATGTAGGCAGAGTCCTGCAGGAGTCATCCTTCGCTGTAAGTGTGCAGTCTTATTAATCACTTTAAAATGTTTCATGGCTCTCAGAGTTGCCAAGATCTCTTTCAAATCTGAACCAAGTGTGAAGCAACGAGGTAAGAAGGTGCACTTGAGTTTGGAGAGAGTCTAAAATAAGAGCTCTAGGAATCGCAAGCTGCTCCATTAGTCTCATTTCAGGCCCATGGATTCCACAGGTTGTGGCCAAGAAACTGCCGAAATCCAACAGAAGAGGCGTTTTCATCCGGAATTTGCCACAAAAATGTGCCTGGTACGAAAAATGGTGATGTGGGGGGAGGTGAAGAATGAGTCCAAAACTGGGTGGTGTGAGAGTTTATGTCCCACACAGCACAGACAAATGGCTCCTCTGCCTGCATTACTCTGACAAGTGGCACTGACAGCAGTGCTTCAGCCCTGCTCACCATCCTTCCTGGTTGGGAGCTGCCTGCAACAGCCTAGAAGCTTTTCCCTACAGCACATTTCTTAACAGCAGCACAGACTTTAGGATTGGAGCTATGGGCCAGTTTGCAAGGGGGGAGAGTGGAGATCCATGGAAATTTCTGACCCACGTTTGCCAAAGTGGAGGCTTATGGAAGTGGGTCACCTCAAGGACACAGTAATGTGTCAGTTTTCACCAACAGTTGACTAAATTTATACCTTTATGTGCTATTAAATTTGAGCTATTACTGGCCAGAGTGTATAGGAATGTGGAGATCGGAGAGGGGGATGTTTCTATCAGCCAGGACAAACTAACATTAGGTGTGATTTTAAAAATAACGTTACTGTGGAATTTGCCTGAACAAACCTGAGTCTAACCCTGATGTGGAGACACAAGGCACTATGTAGCTTCAGGGAAATAAACAACCAACTGCTCTTAAACCTGTTCAGTGTGAAAGGACTTTGCTATTCTTCTCCGCACAAGTAGACATTAGGATGATGACAAGATAAAGTATTACAAAAATATCCACTTTCAGGACCTGTTGTGACAGCTTGACTCAGCCATGAGGGAAGTACCCTTGATATTATTTCTATGTTCAAACGCTTTAGACATTTATCAGAGATATTGATGTGGAATACTCATGAGTCAGGTGGAAGATCATACTTCACTTGCCTCAAACTTTAGGCCAATGGTCTTTGCAGCTCTGTTCTTGCAATCCAGCCAGGATAAGTCTTGTTTCTGACCTGGGAATCCACCCTGCTATTACACCTATACACAGCCTGGTAAGCCAGAAAAGTGAAAAGCATAGGAATTTCAGATTTAACATGACTTCTACTCTGTTACTTAAGGATAATTTTGCACTGTGTCCATGCACTTGAGCAGGAAATTAATGGTTAACTTTGCAACCATTCTTGTAAATAGGCCTCTGTTTTTTTACAGAATTATAAATCTTGCAGAGAAATGAAAGGCAAGAAAATAAAGATGTATTAGGTCCACTTTTTCAGATGTTCTAAGTGAGCTTTTGCTGTGTGGGAGACATACAAACATACAGACTTTTCTTCCTCACCAGCAGAGCTATTCAGTGGGAAGCTTGGCTGATTTCAAACCAGTTTGTGCCTAAGACTGCTGGTACCTCCAACTGAGATCTGCTGGAGGGTGCAGGCTTAATTATAAAGTATCTTCCCTACAGCTGCAGAACACTAATCCTGATTCACCAGAATCCAGCACCTTTGCTTGGTTATAGAAACTATTTTTTGGATCTTTCTATGTTAATCTAACCCTGACCTAAGCCATATGGTGGACATAGAGTAGTCATGGAATATATTTTATACACTTAATGTGCCTAGTCAGGACACCTCTTCTTTTGGACATACCTCTCTAGGAGCCTATCAGCCAGTGTAACAGTGACTTCAGTGCTATGTTGCTTTTAAACAGGATATGAGGTCTCCTCAAGTGTGTAAATTTTGCAAAGCAGGAAGAGATTTTTCTTCCAAAGGAAGAACACTCTGTGGCAACAGTCTCCTAATCCATTCCTTCCAGCAGCATCACGTTGTCAACACAGACACGCTTTTGTACCTCGGGCGTTGATCAGTTACTTTGCTGGACGGCACTTTCACCTAAATCAGTGCCTTCTGGGAAAGTTGGACTGGCCCCTTGGTGAAGAGTGGAAGGCAGGTTGTACTCTGTGTTAGCCAGGATCCAACTGTTCATTCTTCAGCAGTGAAATAATGCCCATCTCTCATTCAGTCGACAGCCATTACCTGTAGACATTCCAGCTTTGTATGAATTGTAAGGTCTGTGGCCCTGAAAGTGTATTTCAACATTTGGAAAAGACTTAAGACTAAATTAGGCAGCACGGTGAAAGGATTTAGTTTTTCCAGAAATTCCTGTGACTTCTGTAACATTTCTACCTTTACTGCTTAGATAAAAATAGCTTTTTAAAGTTGAGGAACTTCTTGAGGGTTGAATATGACTGAACTGAGGAGAAAAAGAACATTCTTTTTTCTAGAAGTTTTTCAGGATCCTTTCCTTGTTCTTTTATGGTAAAAATTGAACAAATCACTGTAATATATTTTTTTTTTAGTGTGCTATAGATGTGTTGCAAGTCTAATTAAAATCTGAAGCCACTGCTTTTATATTATTTATAATACTTACAATAAAAGAACACAGTATTATAAACTACAGTGATTTGAAGTAAATTCTTCAGGTCTAGCCCAGGGCAAAGGGGCCCTGAATCATTTGGAAATTTCAAATGAAAACAGAGGATAGATATTTATTATTATTTTAAAAAAATAATTCTAGCTCTCCCATAATCTCAGGCACTGAAGCCATTGTAAAGGAGAATGGTTTTCACATGCAAGTAGCAGAATGGAAGACAGAAACAATGCTTTGCAGAACTATCTGGAATTATATTGAAAGCTTAAAATATGTACACTACAATTGCTTTCTCCCCCTTAATTCACATTGTAATTTTCAAACATACAAAAGCTATGAGAAACTTCAGTGCAAGGTAGGAGAACTGTCTTTTAGAAACCAAGGCCTCGCTTATATTTACATTAAAATCTTTTCACAGTACCCAGTAATATGAAGAGGCTTTAAGTTTATCTAGTACAATCAAGAGGTTCTTCTCTCATCTACATTTAGGGAACAATGACTGTGGTTTTAATGAAACAGAATATTCTAAATACTAATGGATGTTAAATTGCTTATTCTTACCAAGAGGTACTCCAAATAGCACATTTGCCTCAAGTATATGATATAAAGTGATGAGTTAATTCATGTACTTGTGTCAATTGCTTCAAGAAA